ATGACGACGCTATGTTCAGATTTGATTATCCTCCAAATTTTTTGAAATGGGCCCTGCAGCCTCCTGGCTGGTGCAAAGAATGGCATTGCGGTGTGCGAGTGAGCAAGAGCGGACGTCTAGTCGGTTTTATTTCCGCTATTCCAGCCACTTTACGCGTCTATAATCAGTAGGTGTAATACGCTTGCATAATTGCCCACTTCGCAACATAATGCTTTAAAAATGTTTTCAGTACTCAGAAAATGGTGGAAATCAATTTTCTATGTGTGCATAAAAAATTGAGATCGAAGAGAGTAGCACCTGTGTTGATACGCGAAATTACGAGGAGAGTAAATCTGAAGGGCATCTTTCAGGCCGTGTACACTGCCGGAGTCGTTTTACCAAAACCTATCGCTACATGCAGGTCAGTATAGAGAAGTATACGAGAACTTTGCTTGATTAACTGTTAATTAATTGACATGTATGTATTTAGGTACTGGCATCGATCATTAAATCCAAAGAAATTAATCGACATCAAATTCTCCCATCTTACTCGCAACATGACGATGCAGAGGACTTTAAAGCTATATAAACTGCCAGAGAATACAAAAGTACCAGGTTTCAGAAAATTGGTTTACACAGATATACCACAAGCGCATAAGATATTGACGGAAGTAAGTATAAAGCCTGAATTTTTCGACACATTTGATCGTCATAATCGCCATTTCTAATATCAAAAAGAGAAAGAATTCTATTTTTGGAATCTTGATTTAATAGAACTTGTATGCAAATTTTTAAATATATTCTTATTGCACACTGATTCGGTTAATTAAATTTTAAATGTATTTGAGTGTTATTAAACCAAAATTTGTTTTGACCGAAAATAGGATTTGTTCTTGTCGGTTTAATTTCCACTTGTAATTCTTCATCTTTAATATTTATATTTATATTACAGTATCTGGAAAAGTTCGATCTCGCTCCAGTATTCTCAGTCGAAGAGTTTGAACATTGGTTTCTGCCGCAAGCTGGCATTATTAACAGCTTCGTCGTGGAGAAGGAAGGGAAAATCACCGATATGGTGAGCTATTATACATTACCGAGTTCCATTATGCATCATCAAACGCACAAGACCCTTAAGGCTGCGTATAGTTTCTATAATGTGTCTACCACAACACCATGGCTCGAACTAATGATGGATGCCTTAATATCAGCGCGTGACGTAAGTTTCTCTCATTTATCGCACTTTTCAAACAAGAATCAAACGTAACACGAGTTCTTCATTTGCAGTTGGGTTTTGATGTATTTAATGCATTAGATCTTATGGACAACAAGGAGTTCTTAGAACCCCTCAAATTTGGGATTGGCGATGGCAATCTTCAATACTATCTATACAATTGGCGTTGCCCCAGCATGACACCTGGCAAGATCGGTCTTGTGCTCCAGTAGACTTCTTGTTAAAAAAAAAATCGCTGTTTAGAGAAAGAGAGAGGACATCTTTTGCATGTGTGATCTCGCACAAGAGATTAAAAAATAGCGATTAAGTATGAGCGAACAGAGGATATATAGCAACGCAATAAAGACAGCGTTGTTAAACAGGGATAAGAACAACCTTAATCTTTCTTACCAATAGGAATATATAAATGTAATTGCGGTGGTTAAGGGGAATTTGAGATTTCTTGTAGAATCGTCACTCGAATGAATAACTCAATTCCTCGAAAATCGCTCTTGATTTCGTCATTGGCGCCTTTGAAGACTCTAGATTGAATTATATACGATCGGGACTATAATGAAAATTGTGCAGCATTGTACAGCGCACGTGTATATACGTATCTGCGTAACTCAAATGTAGATAAGCATTATGCAATTAATAGCAATTATGCGGGAAGCCATCCCGCATCATCCGAAAATTTTCGATTTTCAATCATGTAAGCCTTTAGACGCCAGATAACTCTTTATCCGTTTTTTCCTTTACACCTCGGCTAATTAGACAAACGTATGCCGAAGTATGAGTGACAGACAAGTTAAAAATAAAATGACATTTATTGAAAATAATTGATTTTTACTTTTTCTTGCTATTTCTAATTTATATTTTGCCCTCATTAACTTCATATCCGTCCATATTCACATAAGTAAACTATTTATATTCTGAATAATGTTTCTCATGTAATTATTAACAATCTATGCAATATAAAATTCGCGATTATATAATCCAAGATTCGTTTCTAGCTTTGATTAGATTATACGAAACACTTGTGAAGAAACCAGTCTCGTATCAAAAAGAAAAATTTATATATCTACAATTTGATTGCAATGTTAAGTATATTCTTTTATTTTTTCTTTTAACTCCATTTTGAGAAATTAATAGCTTCGATAAAAAGAAAAATTTATATATCTACAATTATCGTATTTTACTCCGGTGGATTTGAATCAATTCGAAGTCAATTAATGATGTCACATGCTCTACTTTAGATTTCTGATTGGACGAATTTACAGTAGCACTTTCTAGGTTAATCGATTTCCGATTGATTATAATGAAAAACGCTATTAGGGATAAAAAAAGTTTTTTATTTCAGAGTAAGAAAGCAAGTTAAAAAGCTTATTACATATTTTAATTTATGATTGTTTTTCAAGTTCAACAAATCGAATCGACGCAGTTTATAGATTATAGAACAATAATTATATTTGTGTATTAATATTATTAAACACTAAGATCTTGCTTTGACTGAAATTGTTTCTTTCATCTCTCTTATTTGTGTTTATATACACATGAATGTTTTTTCAGAAAATTGTACGGTGCAATTCCGAAAGCACCGAGTTTTATTTCACAGTGATGTTTACATGAATTCGCGCGGAATAATTACGTCATATAAATACCTATCTACAGGGTGGGCCATCTATTGGTACGTTTTTAAAAATGCGATCAAATGAGCATACATTGATATTTTTTATTAATTTTTTTTTTTGTTGTGAAGCTAAAAGTATCCGCGTCAAGAATGAAAAACGATTTCGTTCATGTGGCTCCCTCTACTGGCCTTACAGTATGCCATTCGGTCACCCCAATTATTAATGACATTTTGGACTACCTCGGCGCCAATTTCACTCAAAACAGTCGTAATATAATGTCATCCACTAACATCCCTTTCTCACGAACTTTCCTCACCAATTTGCGTATAGCTCCTTCGGTGGGTGCTCTATCACGACCCATATTTCTTTTCAAAATTCGTACAGTTTCGGCGACACAGCACTGACTTTGAAAATAAGTTTTTAAAATTTCAAAACGCTCTTCAAGAGAAAACATGTTGTTTCGTGCCGCGGACGGTATGACTAATAAACTGTCAAAATTTCGGGTCTGTAGCTCGTTCGGTGTTGCCATACGACGAAATTCAAAAACGTACCAATAGATGGCCCACCCTGTATAATTATGGTAATAGAAAATACTTGATAAAAAATTGAATTCTTCCATATGTTATACCCTCAAGGCAAAGATCATGCAACAATATATCTTTTTTATCATTATCGTGAACATCGTGAGTAAACCATCGCATGCTTAGCGCATGGCCGACGAGCAAGGTCTTTTTGAAGATAACAGAGAAAACCTGACGATGTACCCGTAGCGATTAACCGGTTAAAATTTACATTTCGCTTTTAGATAGGGAGGCGACGTCCGAATAACGACGGTCCTTCGATAAGTTTACAGATCCATCGTATATACAAACGATCGATCAATGACGTTGAGCAGACAGGAGGACGCGGATGGCGTTCTACCTTGAACGAACATTATACATACAAATAGTCGATCGGATGATATCGCTGACGATCGACAGATATAGGCCGAGCATAACTATTACTTGTTTAAAGCCGCTTTTTTCTAACAGCGCGAAATTTACATCTAAATATATTCAAATTCCTAGTGAAACTGATGTGAACGTACGACGGCCCTTAGTTAATGCAATGGGACTAAACGACAGTCAGAAAAACTGAGTCAGGGATACAATAAATAGGGGCTTGTTGTAATACTTGCGAACGTGACGTGGTTTTCTTACAAGGAAGCCAATAATATGGTTTAACAAAATTGTCATACCTTCATTAATTTTTCTTATCCTAAAAAGTAATATTTATATGCTAAATAATATTAATAACGTTTGAATATGGTGTTTTGTATACGTTTTATATATACAAATATTTATGAATTGAATAATTTATTAATCGAATCTTGCAATTTTTATGTATGTTATATTTTTATTTATGATTTTTTAATGCTACAAATATAAAAAAAAGTTTTTTACGATATAAAATAAAAAAGAAATATGTTTTATCAAAGTCACGTTTTTCATTAAAATTTGATTTGCAGTATATGAATTATTTCTGATAACAAAAATACAATATATTTTTTTTTTATAGTATATCAAATATTTATATCATCACAGTAAATAATTGCAAAAACATATCTCTTATCATTTATTGAAATTACACTTTTTTCATTACCTCTTACTACAATAAAATATTTCTTGCGACTGCAAGAACCTCGAAGAAATTCCTCTTGTATGAGGTGGTCATCTGATCAACTGATCTTATTAACTACTTGTTAACTCTGATCGTTTTAAAGTGACAGGAAGTTTTTCATCATGGAAATAAAGAGAAAGATAATATTTCTTTCACAAGAGAATGCATTGTGTTACATCATCCAGAAAGTTCCTGACCAGACACGCTTGTATCGATCTCAGGTCGTGTTAATGGTAATGTCGATAGATGCTCATCAAGCGCAATATAGTTACTCGCGGGCGCACACGTGCCCTTTGTACTGCGGAATAATAATAAGCAAGAAAAGAGAAAAAACGAGGAGAGGGATACGTGCAAAAAAGCGGAAACGTCGAATCATCGAACAATACCCGGAGCCAGATAACACTACGAGGCGTGGACGAACTGGAGTAGGTGGGGAAGACACGAGAGACACGATGTGAAATAAATACTGGTCTGAAATCGAGCGGAATTCAGTCGCATGCTTAGTGTACTAACAACGTAAACGTCTGATCACGGTGAAAGAAACCCTCTTCTTGCAAAAGTCCCAATTGTTTGGCACCATCTCACCAATTATTAGTGGCGCCTCGATACCGCAAAACTTCCGAGACGTTTGAACGTAGTTTGTAATTAATCAACGAGAGACTTAGTCGAAGTTTGTATTCTGCTCCAAACTTGGATCGGGCTATCACGATGCTACTTCGATATTCTCTGATCCTTGCCTTCGCGTCTGTCGCAGCCGCTTTTCTCGGGTATCTCGCTCAAAAGACATTACATATTTTTTAACCCTTTGAAAATTCATTTAAAAACAATTTAATTTTTAATTTTTAAATAATTTGTCGACCTTCTCGCGTATCTATTATACAATATATGCATATAATTGAATGTACTTTAGTTTTATCAGTTTTTAAGTAATTTGTCGTTCTTCTTTGGTATCTATCAGATAGAATCGTGAGATACTTAAAAAAATTCATATCTGGCAGGTATCAAAGAAGGACGACAAATTGCTTGGAAATAGGTAAAACTAAAATACATTTATATTTCTTTAAATTGACTTGTATTACAAATATATTTTTAAATGTTTTGTCACGTCTTCTTAAACTAAATACATTGCAACAGTTATTAGTACGAGGGTTGCTAATCCAATTTAGAGATCCTATTATAAACACGAGGCGTCCGAAAAGATCCGGTAGACCGAAAATATCTTATCTAATGGGTGTCATTGTCCACGCTTACGAATCACGTCGTGTTTCTGTTCAGCTGGGGCACAACGACCCTCCAGGCAAGCAACTCGCGGCAGTTTGACGTTTATTGGAACGTGCCTAGCTTTATGTGTAATCAGTACAACGTGAGATTCGATGATCTCAAGGATTTTGGAATTCATCAAAATACGATGGATGAGTTTCGCGGTGAAGAAATCGCAATCCTTTATGATCCCGGAATGTTTCCGGCGTTATTGACCGATAAAACTGGTGAGTTAAAAGTGCATTTTATTACTAAATAAAATTATTCAAAAATATCCAGCAAACATAATTGTTAATTATTTGACGATGTATGCTGGGAGCGATTCCTAATAATAAAAAATATAAATAAATAACTATTATAACTCAACGATTTATTCCAGTGATTTTGGAGCTCGTCTTCTCTCCACACAAAATATTATTTCGTGTTGCTAATCTTTATTGTTAATCGTTATTATATTTATGCCCTTACAATTTTAAATAATTAGTTAATTTCTTGGAGAGTAATTTATTATTGTAATTGTTCAAAAGTTGGATTAATGTGATTATCGATATATTACAAAATAACGAATCTTTTATCCTACTTTATTTAAATGTAAATAGATCGAATGTAAATAGACAAAAGAAGCTAATCAATTTAAAAGGTCTATGCCTATTGTCTGTGTTACGACCATCGAAAAGCATCGTGTGCACTGTGCTCTCTGTGTGTACACTCTATGTGTACAAGCTGACCAAATATGTGCTGCATACACATGCATGTATATTCGATTTTCCGGCAGTCATGGCGATATAACCGCCGCAATTATAATTTTCCACGCAATAATGTAACTATTATGTATTATATAATTATTATACATTATATTGCAGTTATATATATTATTGAGTGGGAAATTAAAACTATTTTACATTTAACAATTATTTTACTGTTAGTTGATGTTTGATGGATATCTGTAAAAAAGCATTTCTTAACAATTTTTTTTAGATATCTATTTATAAGCTTAAGCAAATATATTTAAAATGTATTGTTTAATTTATCGATCTTTTTGCATATCTGTTAGATATACGATACAATTGAGTATTTTTAGTTTTATCAGTTTTTGTCGTCTTTCCTTGGTATCTGCCAGATATGAAAATATTTCTTTTATTAATATTAATTTTGCTATTTTGGTTTTTTGAACATTTTTAGAATTTTTACGTTGTTTCGATTACCGATGTAATTAATTCTTGTATTTTCAGGGACCGTAACAAACGTAAGAAACGGCGGTGTTCCTCAAGAAGGTGATCTGAAAAAACACCTCGAGATGTTCCAAAAGCACTTGATTAAACAAATCCCAGACGGGTCGTTTAGCGGTATTGGCGTGATAGATTTTGAAAGCTGGCGACCTATCTTCCGACAAAATTGGGCCTCTCTCGAGCCCTACAAAACTCTGTCTCTAAAGCTAGAACATAAGAGACATCCCTTTTGGAGCGAGAGCGCTACCAAAAAGGAAGCGAAGCGTCGCTTTGAAAAATATGCCAGAATATTTATGGAGGAGACACTGAATATGGCAAAGAAGCTTCGATCTAAAGCCAAATGGGGTTATTATGGTTACCCATATTGCTTTAATCAGACTCCTGGCCAACCTACTGCGCATTGCAATCGTCAGACTATGGCAGAGAACAACGAGTGAGTACATATATGTATCGACGAAAATCAATAATTCAACATCCGATAGCATGTGTATAATTTAGTAGCATACATGTAAGCGCGTCATTACATTAAATTTTACACGGAATGTACTAATCTCGAGATGATCTCGCGATCCTCGCAGCTTGACATCGGGGTCGTGTTATCGCTTCACCGCTGTGCCAGGTGAAAGAATTTACAGTCTGCTCCATAACAGCGTACACCCTACCTGCAAGAAAATTTAATTTATTAGAATTTTAAAAAAGTATTATTTACATTTAAAAAAGTACTATTTACATTTAAAAGTATACTATTTACATTTAATGACCTATTTTGTTATTGCTTAATATATACCACCCAAATCCTATTGTTGTTTATATATCTTGACAACTATTTGAACCGCCTGGAAACTAAAAAAAAATGACATTACAATCTTGGACTGGCCAGTACAATCATCTGAAGGAAATTAAATAAAAAAATTTGAGCTTTATGAAGAAAAAGCTTTAAGGAAAACGTTATCACACGGCATTTTATCCGAGAGACGTCCTAAGAATATCCTCTGGACATCTTCAGGATATCCTTTGAAAGTATGTGCTATATGAGTATATATAGGGTGTCTCGTAACAACGTTTAAGGAAAGATTTTTGAAGTCATTTAGAGATTTCTAATTCTAATACTAAAGAGTTGAGGTCATAATAATTATATAATATAATAATAATTATTAGTATAATTAGAAATATTAATAATTTTATCTTCATACATTATCTTTACAACAATATTATTTTTATATCAATATTATATCAAGAGACGATAATTAACTTTCAAGCTTTTAGTTTAACATATTATTTTGTGTTATGTTATGTACATAATGTGTATGGTTAAGTCCTTGCTTTAAGAGGCCGTAAGTCGTAAATTGTAAGTGACGATATATCGGCCACAGAACTTATAGTTTTAGGTCGTAAGACCTGGGCTTTGCTCAATTCGTTAAAGCCTAAAGACTGCGCAAAAATAAAGACAGAAATTATTGTCACTTAATCTCTTTCGATTTATGACTTAAGGCCTCTTAAAGCAAGATTGTGGACCGAGCATATCATACCTGAATACACAAACTTTAGGCAGTAGTCATTAACTTAAAATGCTTATTATTTAAAAATTATTATAGCCTTAATATAATAATTTTGGATAATTTTCATTTTAAAATTATCTTAGGAATCTCTTTTACATAAGCATTGTTACGATTTATATGGGGGACGCTGTAATAATATGTGAAGCAGTTATACTATCAAATCTGCAAATATATATAAGATCGCTTTCTATCAATTACGTTAAAAAACTAGTTGAAAATATGACCAGATATTGTCATTTTAATCAAGTACAACAAAGAACAATGATGACAATTGGACGACATCATGCAATAATGAAATAGACTATTAAATGTTAATGAAATAGACCATTGTACTTAAAAAAAATTCTTTTTTTAAATGCATAAACTTCTTGAAAATATAGTATATATAGCTTTTATGGAACTGACTGTATGTATAGTATTTAATTCAGCGGCTGATTTACGATAATGACATCACCCCGGACACAAGATGAGATTGAGAATCAAGATTACAGTTAAGTATTTATACCGAAATAGGTCAATGTCGAGGATATCAGGGTGTTAAAAAGCAAACCGCAATTTCGTTACCGGCGCGTTATCTAATCACGCGAAACGATAAAGAAACAGCCGAGCATCAATGTCAGAGGTAATCACGAGCAACAATTTCCGTAGAATGTCTTGGCTCTTCACGCTCGAGGACGTGCACTTGTCTTCTGTGTACTTGAGACAGGAGATCAGAGGAGAAGATCGGGTGGGCTTCGTGAAGGGTAGAGTATCCGAGGCGCTACGTATGGCAGGCAAAATTCCGCGCAAACAACAAGTTCTTCCCTATTACTGGTTCAAGTATCAGGATAACAGAGATAACTTCTTAAGTGAGGTAAGTCCTTCTGAGCTCCTTGAAATGTTTGCATCAGATATTGATGTCAAGAAGATTTATTGAGAATTTATCTGCACAGAAAGACACGGAGAACACATTTAACACGATCGCTAACCTCGGCGCTGACGGTTTGATTATTTGGGGTAGTTCTGAAGATACAAATACAGAACAGAAATGCAAGGACCTGCTACACTATGTGAGAACAATTCTGGGACCAGCGATAAAGCGAATCAAATAGTTCTAAGTAGCGAAATAACGCAAAGTTTTAGAGAAATTGCACTGTCTCCAGTACAAATCTTTTTTTTTGCTTATTTAGTCTTAATACACACGATGATTTTTTGATCTTTTATTATACATGATAGGTTGTTCGCGTCCCGGATTAATTTTCGATTTTACAAGTATACAAAAATTATTAAGTAATTCTTATATATACTTGAATCTTAATTGGTTAAACATATTCGCTTTGAAATTTCCTTAACTGATATTTGCAGATCCGATGTACTTTAAATTAATGTTTTTATTAAAGTTAATTGAACGATTCCTTTTTTTTAGCTCGGTATCTGAAGAATATGATTATATAAATTTGTGGAAAACATTTATTATAAATAATTTACAATTTTTGTAGTTACAGAAAATGTCTTGATCCACTGGACCTGCGAATACTGATTAACATTTTTAGAATGTATTTGTAAAGTTATGCATTTAAAAAAACAAAGAATAGAAACTATTATTCAGCTGCTTCTAGCATTTCAAAGAAAAGAAATATGTGGAATACGAATGACCCAATCGTGTGAATTAAGGATTAACCAATCGTGTGAATTAAGGGTTAATTTCTAATGATGTAGTTTAAAGTGGACACATTTGGCAAGATGTAATATTTGTAAATTTATACAAGTATAAGTGCAAATATTTAATAAGCTTCGAGGAGCCGTAGATGACTATCGAGGGAACTCCGGGGGCTAAGATGAGAGAGACTGAGAGAAGGAGAGGGAGGCAGCTTCCAGTTGACCAGCTCCGAATTCTTGCGGATCAGCGGCAGCCCTAGTGATCTCGTTAACGTCGATGGAAGCGTGCGTCGCGGTGTCCGGCTCGCCATCCCTGAATCCTCCTCTTCGTCACCTTCGCGCCGCGCATCGCCCTGAGACCAGCAATCGCGTTCGCAGCTCGGTCTCTCTCGGCTACGATCGATGAGCGCGCGATGTCGGCGTACGACAAGTTTTACTGGTTCGCGATGTAACGCCTCGGGCGATATGCTTTTTACAGTACGCGCGACGCGTTTTGTAGAGAGGTGGTAGCTGAGGAGATTCTTCCCCTCCTCGCATCGTTGGCCCCGTCGTCCTTTCTCTCCGCTTTGTCGCACCTGCGGAGAACGTCGATGCCGAGGCGCGAGATCGACGAAGAAGGAGAACGGAACGGGAACGCGGCGCGGAACGGGAACCGAACGCGTACCGCGAGTAGAAGGAGGAGCTGAAGGAAAGAACCCAGTGGTGGAGGTGGAGGAAGAAGAAGAGAAGGAGGCGACGGGCAAGGCGGGAGGAGGAGGAGAACGGAACACGAGAGATCGGCAGCACAGTTTCGTGTTCAGCTTAGCTCGGTTCGGCTCTCTCAGCTTTATAGTATCGAAAACCATCAAGTACTCGAAAAGGTCTCGTACGCATTCCCTTCGAACGGTTCCGCGTACTCACCAGACAGAGAGTCCGGAGGTTGCGATTTCTCTCCTTCTCTCTCCGTCAACTCGCGAGAGACGCGAGATTCTTAGTCGCCCAAGCGGCGACTAGAATACCTGTTGCTCTGCGTGCTCACGCGAGGAGACCGGCGACGTGTTGGTGCGCAGTTCGCGGGCGAAACAGCGACAACGAAGGTGACGTGTACGCCGAGGTGAGTGACAGTCCCTCTAAGGGAAAGCCAAGGCTTCCTGGGTTGATGGGTTCTTTGGCACATCTGAGATCAAATCGCGAAGCGAGCCTCCGCAAACGAGCCTTAACTCGCATTATGTATTTTGAGATAGACTCCTCTCATCGGTTGCTACAACTTGGGCTTGATCTTCAGAAATCTCCGGCTGCTCCGGAAATCGCTAACTCTCAGAAAGCGAGTCCGTGTTCAGCGAGAGCTCGTCTGTCTCTTGTGAAATTTGAAGCGCATTCGTTCTCGCGTATCTGTGCACATATGTGTATGTACGTGTGCATATGTGTATGTGTATGAATGCATGTATATTCCGCGTGCGTATGCATATATACGCGAATGCTCTCGCGTCTATACGTCTATACGCGACGATAGACGCACTCTCATCGCTCCGGAATTCTGCGTATATTGATGAAAGATAGTGAAAACTTCAGAGATTCCCATCGCTCGATTCTATTGTTAACAACCTGCAGTGTTGTCTGCATTTGATTGCAATTGAAGTTTATTAACGCGCTATCAAAGCTATTGCACATTCTATAAAAAAACAAAGGTAGAGTACCGCTGATAGAGAGAGCACAACCTTAATGCAGCACAAGATTTGTAATTCTGAGCTTGACTTGAAGTGTGACGGTATTCGTGCATATCGCTTTCCTTTTTTTATCTTTATTAAGAAGAAGAAAGGTAATCATATGAACATCGATATTTGTCAAGCCAATTATTCCCACAATTATAAGTTGTAGACACTAATTTACTAATTTAGGGGAAAGGAGTAGATGGTCTGGCTTAAGATCCTCCGTAAGTTTGCATTTTCTTCTTCGTGATGTGTATTCGCTGATGTGTATTGCGAGAATGCAAATACAATTTCTCTGGTACCTCCGCTTCGACGAACGAGGAACCCAACACCAGCTGATCGAATTACGATGATCGCGGTCCTCCTCCTTCGTGGGCGACAGGCCCGGGGATGAACTCGAGCGATACAGAAGCCTATCCAAAACGTTTCGGCCACTAATCCTAATGCCCGGACCCCTATTCCGGACTTAATGATAGCTCTTCTTAGACGCAACAGTTAAGTTCCAAGCTAAACTGTTGCGCGGTAGCGAACCCATAATCGGTTCCTTTCTAACGGAGACTGTCCACGATTGGTCTACAGCTCACAGCTACCGTCCGACTTAATTGGTTGGTCTTATAGGTTCGACAAGGTGAGAATATTAATGTTTCGGGATTCCGAATCGGCATCGTCGATTATCGAACGTTGTAATGTCTCTCAGAAATAAGATACTTGAAAATATATTCTCTCTTGAATATCTTCATTTTTAATATCAAATAAAGACCTTTGCTAGAACTATGATTAAATCTTTTAGAAAATGTAAAATTTTTATGGAGAATGTTAAGTTTTAGTTGTTTTTTGGCTAATAAAAGCGGAGTTGAGTGTATCGATTATGTTGAAAAAATATTTTGAACGTGAGAAAAATTGTTATTAAAGGTAATAAATCTATTTAATGATAAAGAATTGTTAAGTAAGATATCAAGACATTCCGGGAGTGAAACAATAAAGTTCGTTTGTTAAAAATTAATATACACAATTAGAAGATTATAAGATAATCTCCTCCAATTATACGTGTTTATGAGAAATACGTGTTATAAGAAATAATTTTTGAGCAATTAACAAGTGAACGAAGAGTCAGATACAATAATCATTTGATTTAAAATTTTATCTTTAAATAACAAATAAACCTAGCTAATTATATATTTAAGTACTAACAATAATAATAGTTTTTATTGCTTAATTCCTAGGATATCTTGATTAGATTACTTAATAACTTTTAGATATATTGTTTTATCATTCCCCTTATCTGTTTCTCTTTTCATATTTTCCTTTTGTTTTACTTCAGGATGTTTATTACTTGAAAAAACTTGGAAAAATCTGGAATTTTTAGAGAATACATTTTGTACCCTCGAAAACCTGGGATTTTTATAGAATTTTATCGGAATTCGGGGAAATTTTTAGAATTTTATTTTTAAATTTAAGCTCTGTCTTTTTCTGAAAATATTATTTCTTTGATCATTTTTTCTTTATAAAGCAAAATGATAATTGATCAGTTCATAATAATAATAACAATAAATATGAATAAATAAGCATAACAATAAATATGGCACATATATCCAAAGAAATTAGAGTGACAGTAGAAATTAATATTCAGCAGAATAGAATAACTCACCGATATTACATTGTTCGCCTTCTCTATACTATTCTATAGAAATTTCGCGGCTTTAATTATAAAAAATGATACATACAGTTAATATTGTATTTATTGTAGAGAATCTCTAGCTTCTACTAATTTTCAATATATACTTCATTTACACACATTTCAATTTCACTTCTTTATTTTAAAGTCGTATTAAAAGATTCTTTAATTTCTTTAATTAAGGAATTCTTAATTTTTTACAAGATTTCAGTAAATATTCTGTCTTCGCTCTTTAAAAATGTTATCACAATTATCTTAATTACATATCTTTATCACGATTGGCATTATGTTATTAATATAATATTGCAAAACTCAGATATTTTTATTTTTAAGATAAAGCTTCGTCAAAGGATTACTTGTGAATTATTTTACGTTCTATATTCTTTTGAACGTGAGAAACTTAAAAATGCCTTCGCAGAAAAATTGATGAAGCATATAACGGGACTTACTTCTGAGCAACAATACCATAGAAAAAGGATGGCTAATTCGCAATTAGTTCCTCTTTGTCTTTCACGTAAACAAGGAAAGGAGGAAGAGTGTTAAAGGGGTTTTGGTCGGGCAAACGGGTCGAGAGGGGGACGGCTGGTAGCGCCAGAAGTAGCTGGCAGGCTCGAGGAAGACGAAAGGGACCGTTTTAAAGAGGCGAACATTAAAAACAACAATGTCATTACATTTTAACGACCTGTTCTTTGGCTCTGCCCTTCCTTTTAAGAGCATTCGCTTGCAGGTATGTGGTCCGCGCTCACGGGGGCCACCGCACCATGCCGAGGGGGCCTCTACAATATCGCGCACACGAGTCGCGTGTGCTGTGCGTATGCGGGGCCACCTCGTGCCTATATCATTTCCACCTTCATTTCCTCTTTCCACAATTCAACGTAAAAACTTAGAGCTCCATGCGAAATAAGAACAAGTTTACACAGTAGTTGTGTGAACTTTAGAGCAAACGTATCTTTCGAAAACACATACAGAATTCGATTTAGAAAAGAAAATTGTTTCAACAATTGGATCAAGCTACTTTCTTCAAATACTTTCCGTAGGAAAGATTTGTATGCAATTTTTTTGTGAAAAAGAAATAAAGCAAAAGAAAAATTGACTTATTTTAAATACGAGCTACTTTATCACGAATGGGGCAAAGCTCATGTAAGTCCTCTTCCGCCTGATTCGTCCCCATCCTCCGGCCCCTTCTCACGGACTCCAGTTCGTTCTCTACACGCGTTCCGGGC